TACATGTAGTTATCAACATTCATCAACCTCTTTCAAAAAAGAAGTCAAAGGTGCATAGATTTGACCCCGCCTTATGCCCTGCTCCGCCCTGGAGGATTTCAGTCCTTTCTTTTTACAAAGTTATCTACTATTTAAGGATGGTTCCTATCCAAATCTCAATGATATCCATTCAGCTGAGGAAGAACATTTTTAAAGGTTATCTTAATCCCCACATAGGGTGCAGGCAACTACATTTTAACAATCTGAACTCTACTCTGGTAACGTTTACCACTGAAGTTAGTTGAAATCTATCAAACGATTTTGAAACGGGGTCGAAGGGCGGACCAGCGATATAACCCTTTGAGTCGATGGCTTAAAAAACATAATTTGATCTGTTTTGTTATGCTTTATATTCATGATACTATGAATCAATATCCTTTGACATTATGGGAAACAAAGGGTCTTTCGTGGAACCCCGTCAAACACTTATTACATTTCGATGGATAAAAGTGCCCAATCTGTTCTGTGCTTGGTGCAAGCTCTGCATTGGGATTCTTTCTTACCAATAATATCGTTAACATGACACAATTTTTATGGGAAACAATCACTGGTTTTATTCTAAAAGCACGACGCTTCGACAAAAATTCTGTATATATTGATCTCATTATTCTTGTATTACTGTATTAGCTTGATAACGTTGAGAGAATACTCTTCGAAACGTCGCCCAAATAAATAAGTAGCTGTTTTTCCATAAGTATGTGTTTTTTGTGTATTATCCTCTTGTCGTTATCATGTCATGATTAGATCTGTATGTAAACAAATCTTTAAACTCTGTTATTATCTATCATAACTTGAATGATTATTCTTCAACCTTAACATGTAGGTATAGTTTGATCGTATTTGAATAAAATCATGCATACAAAAACCTGTTAATTGTTGGGAGTCAGAGATTACTCCGCGTTCCCGACAAGGTTTTTCGTACGACGTATTTGTACAAGGGCTAAGAGATGTCCTAAGGCTTTGTGTTACAAAAGGGTATAATTTTCTTTAGTCCTATTGATTCGATGGTTTTCGGGGTTAACACATAATACATATAAAAAGCCAAAAGTTGTGCGGATGCCCAGCCCCCCCCCCCCCCGATACATGAACCATAACACTGATTTAGTACATACTATTGTTGTTTATTACAAATTTAACGTCCAATACATAATAATATGTTACGGGCAGACTGGTTTAATAGAGTCATTTACATATGAAGGTGTAATATATACAAAATGAGTAAAAACACTAAAAAAATAAAAAAGTTCTTGTATATCAAAAAGTCACTTTAAAACACAGAAGAGCCGGGCGGGTCATCTTCTCACTTTGTGAATGAAAACAAGTTGTGGACCCGTGGAGTAGTTACACATAAAAAATGTACATTTCTCTTTTTTATAGCGCAACGCGATTTTCTCTTTATAACGCATTATTGATACATCAAATTGGTTATCGCTCTGCTTAAAGAAGAAAATGCTCTTTGTCGAACTCGGTCGAGACAGTCGCCCAATGAACATCTACACCAACATGGAAGAGTGAATTAACATTCTATCTAAGCACGAGCTTAATTTATGTGACGGTGTAAATCTGATTTTAAATCTTTGTGTAAAATATTATTTTTAACTGATGAATCTAGGTGGGTTTTTTTTTAAACTATGAGGTGATAGAAACTGTACAAATGGAGATAAATTGAGAACAGATAGGTTGCTTTAATCTAAAAAGTTGGGGATTATGTTATTTGTGTCATCTACCAGATCTCAGAGAGGCGTTATAAGTAAACTTAGATGTGTTATTCTTCCTTTATCAATAGAAATAGGTCGCTACTCTAAGCCCCCAATTCCCCTAAATAATCGCATTTGTCCTTTGTGCTCGTCGTGTACCGAAAACGAAATCCATTTTTTAATTGAATGTGATACTCAGATATCAGGAAGAACCTATTTGTAAATCAGGATGTTAATAATATATTTCAAAAGAAATGTTTTTAAAGGGGCATGATGGGAGATTAGATAAAGAACTGACAGTTCTCACTATAATAGTTAAACACTAGATAATGGAAAGGGAAGTTGCTGAAAATGTCAGTCATATTGATCCACTATGAACTGATATATTAGCTTTTGAATTTTAGACCTAACGTCGATCATCATTACTCAAGTCGGTCGACAAAAAACATAATCTTCATTATCCATTTTTGGATTAAATCATCAATAAGCGTTGAGCAGCAAATCAGATTCAAATCCAGTAAATATCGCAGGCTAGCGATGACATCGAAAGTTGATTATATTCAAGACAAGTTAATTAATGTCTAATTTATAATTTAGATAACATTTCAGGCATAAAGAAAAACACGAAATAGGCCGATTTAGCTCTTGCATAATAATTTAGATAACATTTCAGGCATAAAAAAAGACACGAAATAGGCCGATTTAGCTCTTGCATAATGTATGTTTAAGTATTTTAAAAATGAATAATAACATTACTCTTGCTAATTATCTTTTAAACATGTTTAAACAAAGGAGAAGATTAATCTGAATGGATTTTATTAATTATTTAGTTTATTAATTTTATTTAATTATTTAGTATGTTTAATGATTTGGTTTTAGAGAAAAGTGTCTTGTAAGTCGATATGGGCTGTAGGGCACTGCTGTTATTTTATGTATATTTTATGTAATGTATATATTATTGTATGCAGTGTATAAACAAATTTCTTACTTACTTACTCTACCTTAGACGTAGAGTTATTTGATAGATACATTAGTTTGAATAGGTTTTAGTTCAAATGTATCATCAAATCACACAGCCTACATGTACTTGGCATGTGACTGGATTCCCGAAAATAAAATGTGGACGTACAATAATCATTCCTGTTAGCGGCCATTCTACATTCTCGACTTGTCTGGTTGTGAAGGCACGACAAGTCGAAATAATTGACGCGGGAAAACACGCCGGAAAACCGACACAACCCGACAAGACGACAAAATACAATTATTTCGACTTGTCGTGCCACGATGTGGTCAAGGGCTTCGGAGGCGCCGATGTACCTACACTTGACGGTCCACGGCGAACGGCACCGTGGGCGCGCCCACCCCTCAGAAAACTTTTGAACTGTGAAAATGACGGAAAATTTCAATTTTGAGGCTGAATTGCGATATTGGCGTGATTCATTATGAGAAATGAAATGGGGTTTAACGTCCTACTGTTCTGCTCCTATACTGGGCTAATGAAGACGGGCAAACGCCATACAGTGTATTACATGGGAAATTTTGCCCGGGCAGCGGCACTATCGCCTACTCTTATATCGAATTCCAACAATCAAGGGATCTTTTACGTGCATGCCAATGTATATACGGAACCTCGGTTTTTCGTCTCATCCGAAGGACTAGACAGCTGTCCTTGTCAGGCCCTCCGTTCTGCACCATTGACAAGGGGATACCACGTCGGAAAATCCCGATGAACTTTCTCGGCCGATGCAGGGATCGAACACCCGACTAGTGAGCCAGCGTCTTACCTACCTGGCCACCGTGGCTCCTGAATTCATTATGGGAGGGGTGGGGGCATGATTGGCGAGGCGCCTATAAAACCAAGATTGGTTGGGCGTCCCGCCAATCTCGTCGTGGGTGCCAAACCAATGTCACTCGGCTATATGGGGCGTCCATACTGATATGGGCACGTTGTCGTTGGCTTCGTATTGCGTCCGATGGAAAGTCCGATAAAATCCTTTTATGTCATTTTCTAAACATTAACAGCATACTTTCAATTGGCCACCAAGAAACGTGTAAGTGTCATTTTCTAAACATTAACAGCATACTTTCAATTGGTCACCAAGAACCATGTAATCGCTTTAGCAGTTAACCGAACTTCCTGAGATTGTTTGTATCTTAAGCATGAACTATGATTGACCTCCAATTGTAGATAGGTACGTATCTCTGGATAATACGACGTTGCCCGTCGCGTTATCATGGGTCTTATTAAGATTACACCACCATATTTTTACGTTTTATTTTTGGGTTGTTTACTACACGTTATCGTGGTCTGAAGTCGGTTGGTCCTGGCGTTTAACGTCCACTTCTACCAAGGGTGATATCGTAGTGGTCTGAAGTCGTGAAGACACCCTTTTATAGTGTGCGCAAGACGCCGCATCAACCTACTAACAATGCATGCATGCCAAAATGTTTTTCAGACATAAAGTTAGTCTACACATTAATAGTTCTTTTCATGTATGTTTTTGCAGTGTGTCAATCTGATATATTATATTCCAGTTTCAATTCTCAAATTATATGAGCGCATTCTCTTTTTTGTCAGTGCTTTTCTATGTTTTCCATTCTTTATTGCATTTAAATCATTTTCATAATTTATATCATGTATTTGCATATACATGTGTGTTCTTAGCTTATTTACAGAAGTCCCATCTTCCTTTATCATTATTTATGAAATGTAATGGGTTTAACGTCCTATATACTGGTTAAAAACATCAAAGGGTGACGCCATGTCTATGTTTTAAATGTGTGGATGTAATAATTTATTGACACAATGCCTGGTTTGTATAAAACATAGGCCTAGTAAACAAGCTCTATCATAAAAAATCTTGCATTTCTAAATAGATTTATCAACCTCGATAAAAGACGATGGATAATCTGGTTATATTACCGGTTATTTTCTTCTCTTTTTTCCAAGATAGTTTGTGAACATAATTAAAGCCCAAATATGTTTACGTTTTAGTTTGCATGAATGAGGAAGTGGGCGTTACACCACTAGCTATATAAACAACTACATGTACTATAGTTGTTAACAAAATAACAAGCAGTGGTTATATTCATAATTTAGCATACTATAACGGGCAAAATAACTAAACGGTTGACTTTTTTTTATTATTAGTAAATAAATATCTAGGTTCAATTTTTTGCCAAGAATTATAAATAACCTGTACTATAAATATCCTCTTCAGTAACAACGACTGGGGGAGTCTATTCCAACGTTTACCCGAGTATAAAAGCTTAACTTGGACTAGTCCATTCAGAATATGGCCGTTCAGCTTTCCGACCTAATTGAAGTTAGAGTTTCTTGTGAAGGTAATTGTCTGTAATTATGATCTCGCTCACCGATCTGTTACATGACAACAATTACAGTTATCTTAACGCCGAGGTAAGTTAAAATTATCATAATTTACGTCTTCGGGTAATTGTAAGTGACGAATTCTTGAACACGGATAGAAGTCGTGTCGATGATCAAGTATGCCTACTTTCTAATACTATCATTATTATGCTTCGTAGCGCTCATGGTTCTCTTTGATTAAACACCTTTTTTTTTAATCTAATGATATATTTGTAAATTAACCAAAATTAATATGGTTTAATTTGTACAAGTTTCTGTTCATAAATATATTTTGGATTAGCTCATATTTTTGTTATTTCTTAGCGTAAGTCATGGCGCGATACAAATCCATCCGTACGGTTATGTTGACACTTCGACGACCGGCTGGCGAAGAGTTGCTTAGGGAAAATTCTGTGTTATATAGCACTATTTAGTTGGCTGCGTGCCAACCAATGAAATCGCTTATACAGTTTATCCGGGCAACTCGCGTGGAGAAATACCACGTGGTAGTTAAGCCAGGCAGTATGGATAATGAAATTAAGCCACGCCTTCTACTAGGGAAAAACTGGGCAAATACAATAGTCGTGATTTACAAGTCCATTATTAGTCAATACTCCTGAATTCTGTAACATTAGTAATAATAAAAAGAAATACCTTTTTATTTTGAAGTTTTTAAAGAAAACCCTGGATGATGCTATGAATAATGAAATGTCCATGGACTTTGAGGAGCTGATAAATTCAATGGGGGCATCTCAGCAATCCGTGGAGTACCATCCAAGTGAATATAGCTATCCAGAAAAAGAACCTCTTGAAATTGTTAAAAGTCAACAGATTGTATCAGATGAATTTGATGCACAAATAAACATAGAAACTACAAATGAACAACCATTAATGGTATATTAATTTAAGTAAACTTGTTAGACGTTAACATGATATTCGACGCATGATGTCATTCATGCGTGTATTTCACATTCCATGTTTGCAAATTCTACTTTGTAAATAATTACTCAATTTGTCAAAATCCAAGTTAAATATATGCCACCAATATAATCAATATAAAATTGTTTGGGTGATATTTTTTTAGAATATGGATGCTACACAAATTGACCTTGATCAGTTTTTGGGAATGTTGGGAGAAATGACTTCCTCCTCAAATGATCACCAGACTTCAAACTCAGAACAGAGAGAGACACCTTCTCCTATGTCTAATACCAGTATGCCTGTCTCACAAGCTTCGCCACCCGAGGACCTCAAACCAAAAGAACATAAGTCAACTACTAAACATACCACCAACATTCCACGACATTTAAGAGAGTCACATATTAGAGCAGAAAGGAAAAGGCAATCAAAAATTAAGGTATAATTATTTTCATTGTTTCGTTGAGCATGAAACTATGACCAGAAAATGTGCATGCCCCTTGCAACAGTTTTCTTGTCAGCATTCAAACTTCCAGATTATTAAATTATAAATGTATTCTTTTTTTTATTCAGGGAGCCAGGGAACAGTTGAAGGAATTACTTGGGTTACCCAGAGCTAGTGAAAATAAAATTGTAGAAAAAGGTATGAGTAAATTCAGTTAGTTTCATTAGATTAATAGATTGTTTTTTTTTCTCTCCTAGGTTTTGAATTTCAAGGTAAGACATGTTTATTTCAATCACACTGTATATATGTTTTCTTTTTTGAACACAAAATATTCAGTTGGTTGATTTGAGCAAGCATATGAATTTTATTCTTTTTTATCTACTTTTTTTATTGTTGAATTGGGGATATTTTGTTATCATTTGCCATATTGATATTAATTTTGTGCAGTAACATTTGTTGCATTCATTTCAATCACAAATAATGTAAACAATTTTTCATGGTTTAAGATTTCAAAAAATAATTATTGAAAAATCGGTCAAAATTAATTTGACAACTGAAATGAAGTCAAAAACAAATTTTGCTCCAGTTAGTGACCCAGTAATGGGTCACTCAATTCCCGTTTCTGACCTCTCTATACATATATATTACACTTAGCTGTGGAACGATGTCAGTCCCTAAAGGCCGAACTGGTCAGGCTGGACAAAGAGTCCTCTAGGCTTAAAACGGAAAAGGAGGCTTTAATTGCTGACATAGAGTAAGTTACTGAAACCACAGTGTTATTGTGTGAAATGTACCCAGATTATCCGTAGGTATACAGTAGGTATACTGGCCTTGCTGTTTACGTATTTCATTCCCGATATATATATATATATATATTCCTCTAATTTTTTTTTTTTTTTTGTAATTCTTTTTTATACAATATTTTTTTTTTCTATGCGGTAAGTTTCCAGTTCCAATAATGACTATCTAAAACGCACACAAAAGAACCTCCCTAGATCAAAACAAATTAAATTACACCTATCTTAAAGTTTCACCTCCTTAGATAATGTTTTCCCATATATAAATAGTAGTTTATAACATAAGTCAGTGTCACTGTGACATCAATTTGTAGTCTTCTCAAAGTAGGGTTTTCTTTTTCTTTATTAAGAGTACTTGAGAGTAAATAGTAAAATATAATTGAAATACCAGTCCAAATCAGCAGGATAGGCCAACTCTTTGATTATAGCACATATTTCATCATAATATAACACTGTTTTTTCAGCATGTTCCAAAGAAACCTACCAGCCACTGGTGTTGTGCCCTTAACTTGCGGAACCAGTCTTACTGGACTGTATGAAAAGCACATGGCTGTGCGAACACAGAATGACCCCAAGTATAGTGTTGTATCCTTTATTGAAAAAAAAAAGCTTCAAGGGTTTATTGCATCAACTGGGTAAAGAATGGAAAAACTCTATATTTTCTTTCTTTGTTAACAAGAAATGAGAGTTGACCACAAAGTACAAACACAATATAATATGTGCAGTACAGTCCTTACAAAGGGATATTAAAAACAGAACACAGCATAAATTAATGTACACAATAGTAGCCCATTGGTATAATGAACTCTGTAGAAATATGCCAAATAGACAAAATACCTAGTCTATGCCAATAACTATATGGCAGAAATGGAAGGGTTGAATATAATAATTTCAGTTTGTCAAAAAATACCAATTGACAATTTCATAATATGATAAAGTATGATTCCTTAACATAAAATAGTTTGAACGATTTATGAAACCTTTGTTTCAATCTTATATTGACCATGTAGGTAACACAACATCAAGTAAAGAATTTCAAGATGGGGTGCTAGTCTGGAATAAACAGAATCTCACTTTATCATTTCTCAGACCTGGTAAATCACAATTTTGTAATTATGGATTTTTAAACATGTTATATATTGAGGGCTTAATTTGGCATTTGATAGTCTCAAGACTCAAACACCAATCTAGATGACACAAGAACAAACCAACAGGCGTACCTGACCTGTTGCAGATTAGATGTCAGCAGTCGTTGAACTGTTTAACTCTGTAATCTTATCTATTAAGGGACTTTGACCCCCGTGTGCATTGTGTAAATCAAATGTTTATATCTATTTAATACTGGCAACACCTGACATGTATTATGAATTTATAATGATAATGGGTAAAGCTTTTAACAGTTTTATTATGTTAAATTTTTCAGTGATATCCGATGGATTATTAGATTTGGTAAGAAACTCCAACCTATCAATGCATGGGCCAGTTATAAAAGCATCCACCAAAAGACAGTCATAGCATTTACATCAGAGTCTGTTATAATTTAATCAAAAGATCTATCATTTTTACTCACCTCATTGTTTCTTCATCTTCATTGCATCAAGTTCATCTGATGAATGTACTTGAAGATTTTTTGTAAAATAAACCATATCATTTTATTGAGATTTTTTTTAACAATAATATATATAGGAGTTAGTCTTCTTTTTTTTGACAATTGTATATGGATCCTTTAACAAGTTTAATTAAAAATTCTATCAGATAGTTTTTATGGTATTAATAGGAAACGTTTGGGATCCCAGTAAAAATATACATTAATACAAAGTAAAATTAGACCGACTTGTGCTTTGTAAAGTATTAGTTTCATTCCTTGCCTGTAATTTTATCAATCAGGATATTCCTTTCGTAATGTCATCAGTTCTGGAATTAAGTCAAAGGATGCTCAGAATATTCAAAAATTTACATGTGACAAAATGCTCAACTATTTTTGTACATATTATTATTATTATATATCTCCAGGAATTGAAGAACATAGTATTTGTGTATCTATTTTGTACATAATGTTAATCAAAAATATGAATATATTCAAAAGATTTTTTGTTCTTGGTTTTTCCATAATGTCTAGATTTTGTTGTAAAAATATGTGATAGTATTTGGATTTACAGGATGAATCAAATATAAATGAATAAAAATGTATTGTGGTTATATCTTGTTTAGCTTATGAATTTGGAGAATTACAATGATGCAAACGTTTCCTTCTTTTGAAGTTGCTAGTCCTTCAAAAATTACGTTTGTTACAAGGAAGTCCAAACTTCTATTTATACAAACGTTGATCATTATATTATATGTACTTCTCTGGAAATGTCCGCACTATTCTTTTGTACATTTGTTACCAAGTATTCCTAATTCTAGGTTGGGGTAAAAGTGAAGGTCGTGGTAAAATCCGTCCGTCTTATTACAAACTAGGCTCATGCTGGGGAAAGAAAGACTGAAGAAAATAACCCGAGAAAAAGAAGAACGAGGCCGGTAGGCCGAGGTTTTTCTGTCGAGGGTTTTTTCTTCAGTCTTTCTTTCCCAAGCATAACCGAAGTCGAGGACTTTATCTTGCTTATAAACCGGCTTTTTTTTACATGTACGCAAAATGAGAATATCCAAGAATTCCCATAAGAAAAACCTTAGATCATGTTTTCTTATGGAAAAAAAACCCTACCCTGGAAGAATAACCGGTTACAGGTTTAATGAAAAACTTTCAGGAGAATAACCCCAAATTTCCCTGCATATATATCCAAAGCTGCCCCCGACTTTCAGACTTCCAAGTTATTCCGGGCATAGAATATACCACAAAGATGAAAGAGATTTACAGTTACAGGTTTATAACATGTGTGAAAGAGCTGTATTTAACGTACATCTGCTTCCACAATCAACCACTGTTTTAGTGCTGACCATAGCTCTAAAATACCTACTGTAGACTGTGTCGGGTGTACACCCCCCCCCCCCCCCTAAAAACTTCACTGCCCCTCCCAAGCTAGCAAGCTGTCTACGGGCCTGTTTTGGTGTGATAAAGAAAAATTAGTTGATTGTGGTTTCGAATGTTGAGTTGCTTATTACTATGCAGCTGCGCAATGCAGACTGATACATTGTCATTAGTCCCGTTTGCACTTGGACGCGATAATCGTGCGATAAATTTCAAGAGATTGACCCGTTTACATTACTCTACCATAACCAGTCTCGTAACCGTGCCAGGCACGCCAAATGTGGAACTCGTCACTGAAAAGTTAATTTCAGTTCCTATGCCAATTACCCGAATCGAAAACAATTATGACGGCTGATTTAGATTGGACAGTCATTTTGACAGAACTGATGAAAGACCTGTCGGACTTCGCGGGAAAAAGGTCAAGGTTCATTTGGCGCATGCGCAGTACTCCGTACTGAGAACCGTTTTCATACCGAATAGCGTTAACACTACAAAAATTTAACCGTGCCGAGACCACCAGTCCTGACCTCAGTGGGCCAAATTGGCATGGTACTCGATCAGTACTTATGTTTGACCCGTTTACACTACAAAAAAATAACCGTACCGTGTCTGATAGCGTGCCTGGCACGCTTAAAATCTGTAATGTAAACGGGGTTAAGATAATTTTTCCAAGTTATAAATTTCAAAGACGGCGCTATTTTTGTGACATAAGGGAAATAACTCTAGTTTTCAGACACCTGCTACTACAATCTCTATATGAAAGAGTAGTATAAATTAATTGAACTTTTCATTTTTGAGGAAACCTAGAACATGGTAACAGTGTATGTTGTGTATCGTGATGAAGCATTAGTAATCCTGCAATTTGTGAATGGTAGAGATACTACTGAATTCCACTTATAATATAATATAGGCATAGGCCTATTTCACAACCGAGAGAGAGAAGGTGGGGGGTTAACGCCCACTCGACACAAACAAACTAGGTCATTTCGGGACTAACATATTGATCAATTTTATTACAATAATCTGCTTGCGCGTATAGGGCTCTTTAACAGTGGGAGGAACCGGAGAAACCCCATGAGGTACAGCTGGGGAATCGAAACCTCATTGTTCACTTCTTTAACTTCTGTTATAAAGGGCAAAATGTAAGACAGGCCTCCTGGCCTAATTTTCAACCCTTTGAAAATAAAGTTATTATTATCAGCTATTAACTCATGACAGACCTTATGATACAGCGCGCGCACTAACCATTCGGTCATCACCCCCCCCCCCCCTCCAACTGGTCTAATGAAGACGGGTCAATTCATTAGACAATTCTAACAAGTTTTAACAACTTAAGTCGAAAACTCTAATGTGGGACGTTTTGACCTCGACAACCGCGGTTTTTAACCCAATTCCTAACCAGTTAGCTCATATTTAGGGCATGTGGGTTTGGCTTGCAAGTTTAGGTTGAAAGACATGTCTGCGAATCAAGTTCGGAATTTGCTATTCAAAAATATTAATTTTTGAAATGCGACGGGGTTCTTCGTCTGGTCCTAAATAGCAATGCACCAATTCTTGTTTTAAAGCCTTAAAGGAGCTAAATCGCCATTCAATCGTTTCTGTTTTTACTGTAATTTCTAATCAGTTATGTTCGGCGAAATACGCGAAGAATCTTAATATTATTGAATGGCACACTTTGTTGTGTGGTTATTCCTGTCTACACTGGTAGTATTCTCCTGTGGGATATGTTTAGCCTCCTTTATCGGGTCGCTTCATTACAAATGGCGCTCGAAAGCATTCTGGGCCTCGATTCGTGTGCCAATCTTAATATTTTCACCGTGTCTTAAATATTGGATATCAGACGCCCATCTTTTCACGGTAAGATAACAACATTAAATTAAATTGACCAATAAGTCGCGTTTGCAATGTCAAAATGTGGATGATACTGAGTTAAAGACTAGCCTCCTTTAATAAATCTGACCTATAAAGTGTTTACTTGGTTTGTGAATTAATGATATCTTTTTACTTGTTGACTTATAATGCCTTTTCAAGTCTAGTGTCTATCTTTGATGACGATAAAGTCAACTCTGCAACGCGTTTTTGTGTAACTCTAGCGACTGCACGGTGAAAGTTTTAAAGAATCAAAGTATACAGGTACGACTTGTTTCCCTTTACCAGAATGCATTAACTCATGCACCTGATTGACTGAATTGCAGGTGCCGGCTAGGTAGTTCCGTGGTGGTGTTAATTTAATGAATAAAACAAGGAAATACACACAAGAATATACACATAACAGAAATGGGGTTAAACGGGTTACATCCCTGCACCGACTGGGCTAATGAAGACTGGCATTCTCCATGAAGTATGCTATGAGGATAATTTTGCCCGGGCAGCGACGCCACGGCATACTTTTAAATTATATCGAATTCCAGCAGAAAACAGAACATAAACACAAACCCTGGCAACTAATGTGGAAGTTACATTAGATCTGAAGGTCGGTCATTGAGTCAAGTGGTAGGTGCGGTTTCGATTCAGGCTTGTAGGTGACACCGTGTCTAAGTTGTGGGTCCTCCGGTTGCCTCCCACTACTAAAGACCCATGCGTACAAGCGAATTATTGAAATGAAATTGAACCATGTGTTAGTCCCGAAATGAATTTGAACCCACCTTTTCTCAATCTCATTTATATTCAACGTTTGGCGTCTTATTTCTCACCTCAGCCTTATCACGTTGAGTTTGTCATAATCCGCAACTACAGAGAAAATTTGTTGCGGTGCATTATGGGTTGTTATGTTATAATAATGCCAGAAACTCCACTCGTATGATACGATAAAGGCTGCTGCGATAATCTTGTTTAGGCATTAATCTTTGCTTGGAATGATCTGGAGCGGCCTGCTTTTCAGCGGGACGAAGGAGAATCGCTTGCCATTAGATACAAATTTGATCGAAGATTCTGTGCTTTTGCCGCCACAGGTAAACACACACTTATTTTCCGAATGCTTTTAATCAGTTTTTGATTGTTAATTTTCCCTTTAAAACATTAATTATTGCTTCGCCAACATTAAAAATATAATGATGTCCGAAGTTGCGCTAAGAAATGTGGTTTTCAAAATATGTTAACTATCATTGAAAAATCTATAGAAATTTTAGCTCCACAGATGAGAAGGGTTGGATAGTCGAGTGGTTAGCACGTGCGCGCTGTATCATAAGGTCTGTTATTGAGTGAACTGGCGTGGTTTCGATTCCCCGGTTGTACGTGACCAGGTAGGGTCGCCTGTCCAACCTCGTGGGTTTTCTCCGGGTCCTCCCACTGCTAAAGACCCCTACGCACAAGCGAATTATTGAAATAAAATTGAACCATGTGCTAGTCTCCAAATGACCTAGTTTATGTCGAGTGGACGTTAAATTTAACCACATTTCTCTCTCTCTCTCTCTCTCTCTCTCTCTCTCTTAGCTCCATAGATGAACTTTTATCAGCCCTATATCCAGTTTCCAATAAAAAAAAAACAAAAAAAAAACGATTTTCCAAACAGAATCCATTCGCTCATGGTTTCTCTGTGAAATCACTTGTTGTTAGTTGTGTTTTACGTCCGCTTCCACCGAGGTGATATCGCAGACAATCACTTTCGGCAAATTAGCTTTTATATCCGTTGTTACACAAGCGCGACGAAAATCTTTTCAGCCAATGCACAAGTTTGATCGCAAGTGAAACACGTTGTTCAGCACGCGTGCTGTGCACAGTGAACGGACCAATCAAATAAGTGAAATATATAAACGCGCACCTGATATAACACCGCCTATATGTAATCAAGCTGTATAATAAGATAAAATTTAAAATGTCTAAACCCTCATAACACTTTAAATGCCTCCGAAGCAGACTTTTGACTTTTCTGGTCAAGTTTTGTGGTGTAAATTCTGTGTGACAAATTCCAACAGTAAATAATTATGTATTTTGTCTTTTAAATGTCTGCCGCGTTTTCTATGACAAATAATGTATTTGATTGGCATGTAATATAGGTAACCAGACGTCAGCCAGTAATGTTTATAATGATTGAAACATAATATATAGACCCGGGGCCTAGTTGTTTCACGAAATTTTAACTAAGATGAAATCCAAATTTGAGTAATTTGATTGAATAATTAGATTGATTTTAGTGCTTAGTCAATCAAAATTGAAGTATCTACTAAACTTTGGATTTTATCTTTGGTTAAGATTTCGAGAAACAAGGCCCAGGAGCCCAGAGGGTCGAACCTAGACGAACGAGGTACCAATATCTGACCATATAGGCATCTACATACTAACCTGGGATGCACAGTTAAGTGGGCGTCTGCCGGGGTCCAGTCCATGGGTGTGGCCCTGGTGACCCCTAGAATGACCCTCAAAATGGGCTATACTCATACATTCGAGGTACCGGCTGAAACCAATTTAAAATGAAAGAGTACATCTAGCTGAGTACGAAATTGCCCATAACAAACAATTTTGTCCCTGGGACGGCTCAAACTGACACCCTAAATATGGACCCCCGAGACTTAGAAAAGGGTTATATTCATACATGCGAGGTACTAGTTGAAACTAATTTTAAACGAAAGAGCATATCCCACTATACGAAATTGCCGCTGTCCGGGCAAAATTTCCCTCATAGCACACTGTATGGCGTATGCCCGTCTTCATTAGCCCAGTTCGGAGCAAAACAGTAGAACGTTAAACCCCATTTCATTTTCATTTCATTTCATCACCATGTCCCTGGGGGCAGCCATCTTTGAACAGACGATGGTCCGGACCATTCGCGTTCGGTTTCTAGTTCCGACCACTAGTCGTGAAAAAATTATAACCGAAGGTCGCCCAAGATGTACTCTTTCATTAAAACTGTTACTTCGAATGTGTCATTTTTATAACCCCAGGGTCCAAAATCGTCTGTTATGGGCTATTTCGTACTCTGTGAGATGTACTCTTTCATTTAAAATTGGTTTTGACCGGTAGCTCGAATGTATGAGTAAACTCATTTTTGGCCCCCCCCCCCCTCGGCTTTGGGGTGTCAGTTTAGGCCATCCCAGGGGCCCAGTCGTCTGTTATGGGCAATTTCGTATAGTGGGATATGCTCTTTCGTTTAAAATTAGTTTCAACTGGTACCTCGCATGTATGAATATAACCCTTTTCAAAGTCTCGGGGGTCCATATCTAGAGTGTCAGTTTGGGCCGTCCCAGGGACAAAATTGTTTGTTATGGGCAATTTCGTACTCAGTGAGATGTACTCTTTCATTTAAAATTGGTTTCAGCCGGTACCTCGAATGTATGAGTATAGCCCATTTTGAGGGTCATTCTAGGGGTCACCAGGGCCACACCCATGGACTGGACCCCGACAGACGCCCACTTCTGTGCATCCCAGGTTAATGTCTATATGGTCAGATATTGGTACCTTGTTCGTCTAGGTCGACCCTCTGGGCTCCCGGTCTAATACGCCCTGGTGACCGAGATCAAAAGGTAAACAATGTTGGACGTTCGTAATGAAATATTATGCCATTTCCCTGGATCATTATAATGTTATATGAAATAGGCCTACAAAGGTACATTTAGCGGTAGAGTCGAATTAGGGTATCGCAGTTATCCAAACTTCGCGTAAAACTTTTAACTGGTTCTCGCGGTAAAATATTCGCAATGGTCATTCGGGATAAAGTTGAGTGATCGGGATCAATGAGAGAGAGAGAAATGGGGTTTAACGTCCACTCGACACAAACTAGGTCATTTCGGGACTAACATATGGTTCAATTTTATTTCTATAATTTGCTTGCGCGTAGGGGTCTTTAGCAGTGGGAGGAAACCGGAGGACCCGGAGAAAACCCACGAGGTTGGACAGGCGACCCTACTCCTTGCCACGTACAATCGGGGGTTCGAAACCACGCCAGTTGACTCAATGACAGACTTAATGATACAGCGTGCACGTGCTAACCACTAAGCCATCCACCCCCCCACCCCCCGGGATCAATGACGTTATTTAAACGTCATGTCATACGTGTAAGCGTCAGATTTGACCTAGTGATAACGTCACAATACATGATACGTCATGTTTGACCCAAAGTGACATAATATTGCCAGCTTGCGATACAAACCACAGGCACTTGAAGTTGAAGGGATTAAAATAAAATTTCTTTCTACTGTTTGACTATATATATTACAGTATTAACAATGTTTATCACCTGTCTTTTTGTTTTGACTTGTTGACGACATTTCGTCTGCTATCATCTCACAATACTGACTAGTTCTAGCACTTCCCGTCGTTTTTATTGCCAACGAGATTTCATTTGATCCCTATACAGCTTCCAATGTAATTAAATTGGTCATTTTACAGCGCTATTAATTACAAATCAACCCTGAAGATAAAAGCTAAGGGTCTCTTTACCTCGATTAATGAAAATTTATTCTTTATTTCATTATCAGGAAGCCAGCTCGCTTGTCAATATAGCAAATCTAGACGAAGTCCAATTAATATTGGTTACCTTTTTGACTCAAATACAAGATGGTGTTGTGTGTCAGGAGTCGACACCAGAGAAGGAAGCCGACGATGCTGGGAACATCAAGTATCAAAGAAGAGTTTAGTGATGGAACTTCTAGATCTATACCTCGATATAAAAGACCAGCTCACAAGCGAGCCGAGTTGAAGAGATGTGTCAAAATCAAGGTAGAAGCAATTATATTAGGCCTTCTCCTATGTGTCTTTGATACCTCACGTCTTTGATCATGGGCATATGGGGCCAATATCAGTTTGAAGGGGCGGGGGGCACTCGGCAAACCTCGGAAGAGTCCGTTACTCTACATCAGCCTAGGACGGTAAGTGATCACACTGATCCGCAGTGAATATTTGCTTGGCCGCGACAATCACTGATAAGGATGACATTGATGCGGCTTAATGAGCTAGAAATATTAACTTTTTTCCTGCGACAAATTAAATTCTAAAACATTTTTTGTATATATTGGAAAAATAAATAAAGGCGTTTGACGTATTTGTAGGTAAAAATTATTTCCGATTTAGTGTAAATGGGTATTAAAATGACTAACATGCAGCATTCTCTCCGAAGCAGTTATGTCTTATGTAAACAATGCACGCGCCATTCAGCCAATGATTCACACCGCGTGCTGTGACAACACGTGTTAAGGCAGTCATCTATGACAGAGATATTATACGAGACTCGTAATTCTCTGTGAAACAGATTGGGTAAGTGATATGTACCTAAAGCAGTGGACACATTAGCCGAATCGTTCGGCCGAACCAATCGGCGCCGAATTTTATTCGGCCGAATGGGTGGACACACTAGCCGAATGCTTCGCCCGATTCAACCTGTCGATTGCATCACCTTTCACGTCACATGATTAAACATGGCGGCGTCTATGCCTTCAATCTATCACGTGACTTCTCGATATGAGTGGTGATTGGCTAATGAATTCTATACGCGGCCGAATGCTTCGGCTAAGCGGACACACCAGGCGAATATAATTCGGCCGAATATATCAAACCTAAAGCCCATTTCTTCGATCCCTGCATTGGCCGAGAAAGTTCATCCAGATTTTCCGGCATGTCCCCCCCCCCGTCCCTTGTCAGTGATGCAGGACGGAGAGCCTGACAAAGACAGCACTGTCTAGTCGTTCGTATGGGACGAAAAACTGAGGTCCCGTGTACACATTGGCGTGCACGTAAAAGATCCCTTGACAGTTGGAATTCGATATAAGAGTAGGCCGAAGTGCCGCTGTCCGGGTAAAATTTCTCTCATAGCACACTGTATGGCATATGCCGGCCTTCATTAGCCCAGTTCGGAGCAGAACAGCAGGACGTTAAACCCCCATTTCATTTCATGCTAAAGCCTATTTCATTTCATTTCTCTTCATTATAAAAAGTGACCAGTAATATGCACTACCATTTTCCTTAAGCCTATGATAGTTCAATTTTATAATGCAGAATATGTGTGAATAATTTGATCGGCCAGTATCAACCACCTCTAACGAAAAATTCAAATCTAGCCTGAATAAATGGTTTAGAGATAAACTACAAATAGCTAAGCTACGGTCAGGTAAAGATTTTCTGACACTCACTCTAGTTCTCAAACTATGACGGCCAAATACTATTTTATTAAATGACCATAAGAATTATTCAAATGGTGCGATTACTAATCTCATAATAACTGTCACTAATATCAGCCAATATATACTTCGCTAACATGGCTGTAGGTGCTTGATAAACCTAATTAGTACTTGCAGAGAGGTGCCGTTTTCGCCTGTTCCAATTTCTGTATAAATGGCGTGTCGGCTGTAATGGGCGTATTGTAAAATTTGCAAATAAAGGGCATCCCTACAAAATATTCGATGGTTATGTATTAGAATCGCGGACGCTGGCGGTTGCCTATACTTTTTATGTTGTTATCCATATTCTTGCTATTAGAAGGCCTGATGGCTTATAATACTAGACATGCCATAAGCATAGTATTTACTCATATTATGTTTTTGGGGTTATGATGATTTGTAAAAAGATAAATCAATAATCTCAAATGTGTTTAGTGAAAAATGTTATAGACCTATTTGAAATTAAATTTTAATATCATAAATTTATTATTATTTCTTAATGAAGGCTTGCGTTAATAAAACAACATAAATAAGAGAAATTTTAGAGGCCAAAGCTATTTATCATGGGGAAATATCATTTTAATTGAGTAAGATAGATAGGTAGTTTCAACAACGTTGTTATATACTTTTAAAATTTACAGCCTAGATTAGCCGTTTGACTCACAAATATCATATGTTTGTGACAATTCTCAATAGTTTCTGTTATCCAAAATACCATAAAACTAGGAAATTCAAGCGATTTAGTTTATCAGAACGCATTATTTCCATCGAAGCCTGCGAGTAAGTCAAATGCCAAGGTCACGAAAGCAGGATGCAAGTTCAAGGTCAACCTACCGATACATTTCGAAGAGAATAATAGGCTATAAACTCATTTAATTCATCTCTCTACGACTGTCTGACCGCGTGCAAACACTGGTACAACGTATGAAACCCTCTCCATTGATATTGTAACCGTTAGTTCAACCTGTCAACAGTTTTCAGGTTGGACGCGTACATTGCTTACACTCTACGTGCCCGCAACGGAAATGTGCATTTGCGCGGGCGCAAGCAATTTGAACTAAAATCTATTAAAATTGCATTTTAAGCTACAGTCGATCTTCGTAAAACGCATAAAATTTAAAATTCCATTATTTTTATAGTTAAAATCTATTTTAGTGATTTTAGCTTAAAGTAGCTAAGTCCGTAACCCAATATCATCCAAAATCTTCGACATTGAAAACACGATTTTTTTTGCAATTTAAATCAGCATTGGTGTGGTGATCTTACCTTGAAAATATGGGCTTCTGATATCCAATATTTCAGACAAAATAAACATTTTACCATTGGTACACGAATTGTGTACCATAATGCGTTTCAGTGCAATTTGTAACAAAGTGCTCAAAGAATGAGGCTAGACATATATTCCACATGTCATGTCAAACGGTAATGCCATATTCTTATTTGTAGAGCATGCACAATAAATATTATCGATGTTGACTGGAATAACCAGACTTTCGGTTGAGACTTCTGGCGTATATCGGCATCGCCGAACATATACTGATGACAATTCGCAGTAAAATAGAAACGATTGAATGTAAAACAGTTTATATAAATTCCTATTATATTAATATATGTGTTGCGACCCATTTGTGCCAATTTCTAGCTCCAAAATATTACCGACTTAGCTCCTTTAAGTTTTTATGAAACAGGACCCTGTTTCTCGAAATCTTAACTAAAGATACAATCCACATTTTAGTAGATTCCTCAATTTTGATTGGCTAAGCACAAAAATCAATCAAATTAATAAAATTAACCATCATCCGCCACAGAGTCCAAAGGTCCAAAGTTAAAGCGCTATGCAAGAATATAAGCAACAAGAGGGCGCGCCGATTGCATGAAGCTATTCAAATACGAAGACACAAACCAACGATGAACAGAGATACGTTTTAACTCTGAGTCAATATTGGGGGTTATTCAAGATGGCGGTCATGCAGTTTCGGCGGGAAAATTCGAATTTTACATAAGGATCAAGTTTAGTGTCAAAATATACGTTTTCGAGGTAGCCGAATCTATTGTTGTACATATATCAGTGATTAAGCGATTCCCTGTGTCAATATAGGATAAATTCCAATTGGATTTCCGATTGGGGGTTATAATAATAATAATAATAATAATAATTATTTAATGAGGCAACTTATTTAGTTTGCAACAAAAACTAATCTTCCATAAATCCCTCCTAAGCTACAAAGACATATTATATACATGTAATATCAGGATAAATTCAAAATCATTTGAAATGCAATAGCATTTTAAAGTGGGAAGTCACTCCTAAACTACAAAACATATTCATTATACAAGTAGAATATAGGAAGAACAATATAATTACACACAAAATAAGATAGAATGCAGTTTCAAGTTAAATATACACGAAAACCAATAAGTATGTCATCAGTTGAATATTATGGTTTCTTCAGTCCTCAATATAAATGAGTTTTCAGTTTAAAGATATCAAAAGGCTGATTGTTCCATAAAAGACATGCAGAATAATGAAATAAGATAAGATAGAATGCAGTTTCAAGTTAAATATACACGAAAACCAATAAGTATGTCATCAGTTGAATATTATGGTTTCTTCAGTCCCCAATATAAATGAGTTTTCAGTTTAAAGATATCAAAAGGCAGATTGTTCCATAAAAGACATGCAGAATAATGAAAAGTACGTTTCATGGATTCCGTTATGCATTTTTGGTCTGTGAACGGAGCAAGGTCAGTTTTGGAAACAAGAGATTTTTCAATAAAATAGGAGTTTAGATAAAGTGGAGTATTAGATGTAATAATTTTGAATGATAAGACAATTTTATTATAAAATTGGTGCATCAAGAATAATTCTTGCTTAAAAGAATGTCTAATCTACTTTTGGTATCATTCCCCCAAATAATAGAGCAATAATCAAATATTGGTAGTATGTAACTATTATAAAACAAAATTCTTGTCTCGTAAGATAAATGATCTTTTATCTTATTTAGGAGAAATACTTTTGATGCAAGTTTTTTTTAGACATATCTGCTATCTGTGCTTCCCATGGTCTTGGTCAATTTGAATTCCAAGTAATTTCGCGGTAGTAACCGTCTCAATTTTCTCACCATGGAGTGATAAAGTTAGGTTTTTCTGATTTCTTTTGTGTTTTGATGAAATCAGCATTGAATTTGTTTTCGAAGGATTGATTACCATCCCATTGCTTTCACACCATTTAGCAACCAAATAGAGATCATTTTGGAGATTATTGGATAAAATATCTTTGTGTGAACAATGCAGGGTACTGTCATCAGCAAACAAATCTATCTGACTTGATTCAATATTGAGTGAGAGATCATTTATAAAAATAAGGAATAGGAGAGGACCCAGGATCGACCCTTGTGGAACCCCGCATTTGACTGTAGTAATTGAGGAGGAAATTGATCCTAAACAGATTTGTTGCTCCCGTGAGTCAAGATATGATTCAATCTAAATTTGTGAATTTTTATCAAGTCGATAAAGATGTAGTTTTTCGATAATAAGCTTTTGATCAATGAGATCAAATGCTTTGCTAAAATCAAGATACACTATACCACTCATCGCACCATTATCGATAGCGTCAAGCCAATTATTTGTCATTCGGACCAGTGCAGTAGCACATGAAAGATTTGATCTAAATCCAGATTGGTACGCATAAAGAACAGGTGCCCTTTGAATATTTTTATACGCTCACATTTTCGCATTTTTAGCTTGTGGTTCCTGTAGAGGTCATAATTATTATCCGATTTAAAAAAAAAAGCGTTCGAATATATCACCGTTACACCCTGAGTTCGAATTTCGTAAAAAGCGGATACCCGAACTTAAATTCCTGGATAATGGCCCCCGATTGTTCGAAAAATCACATTTTTAGCT